TGTGTGTGTGTGTGTGTGTGTGTGTGTGTGTGTGTGTGTGTGTGTGTTGCACATGCATTTGGGTATATGCACATGGATGAGTGTGCAGAGGCCAAAGGCCCACATTGGCTGTCTTTCTAAAGTGCTCTCCACCTTACAGATAGGATCTATCACTGAACCCAGAGCCTAGCAGTTCAGCCAGGCTGGCTGGCCAGTCAGCTTTAGGAAATCCCCTGTCCCTGCTCAGCAGCACATGTCACCACACCCAGCTGTTTCCTGAAGGTCAGAGCTCAGGTCCTCAGGTCCTCCTGAGCCATTTGCCAGCCCTCGCCTGTTTGTTGTAAAGAACTGAGGAAATGTAATCCTTTCAAAAATCTGTCTGAGAAGTTAGTGATGCCCAGGAGACATGTTTTACTTTAAAGATGAGTCACAGATGTATGTGTGGCTTTGCTGTGATGAGCCAGTTCACCCTCCTATAGCATCTCTTTTAGGGCCACATACTCAAGCTGGATCAGCTGTTGATCTGATACAGTATAGTTTTAATCCAGGGTGTGCATCAATAATGTATGTACTTATTGAATAAACCAATGTTCCACGATTGGCAAAACCTGGACCTGCATGATAATTGCCTTTAGACATTTCCCTACTGTGAGAGAGTTCATGTGTTTGGAGAAGGTGTATGATCAGAGTAGTTGCTGGGAGAGTGAAGGGGGTGGGGTAACTGGGTGAAGTTAGCAATTCTTTGAGATAGCTGGTGTTTGTGTAGACCAAGAAAGAGTTGGCCTTAGATACGAAACTTGATGTTTGTTTACCTGTGTGTTACATGGGCACTTTTTGCTATTTATGGGCTATGGGCTATTCTGGTGGTTGTTAAAGCTACCTGAATTTTGAAATATAAGCTATTTTGGCTTTATCAGCGTATACCTTAACAGATAATTGTCTTTTTGTAATTTTAAGAAAAACAGTATTTATTTCTTACTCTACTCTTGTTTCCAGTGTACTGATAGGAAGATGGAATTATTCTTTAAACACATATTATGTTTCAGCTTTATTTATAATGTGATAAGGAAGAAAACTGTTAACAGATTACTGAATCCCATAAAAGCAAGGTGAACTAATGTTTTCTTTGCCTCTAAATATGAAACACTTAAAAATGCTTTGCATGCTCAGGTCTTCAGTTTGAGGCTGCCACCATTTTTAAGTTGGAAGGAAAAAAAGAAAGTAGGAGTCTCTGAAGTCTCACTGGTGCGTCAGGCTTAGAGAGAGTGAGTTAACAGTAGTCTGTAAGAGAATCTATGTAAAAATCTAGGTTCAGAGACATACTATATCACATATATCACATTCCCTTGTAGCCCCTGCCTGCATGTCATTTGCTGTCTTTCTGAACAGGATGAGGAGGAATAGATTTTTTTAATAGTAGCAGCAGACATGTGTCAGATTTTTATGTGAATTTATTTCAACTAAAGTCTCTGCTTTAGGGAGAAAGACTCTGTGCAGTACTCTTAGCTCTCAAGTATTTTGTGTAGTTTGAATTCAGCTTCATCAAGCCATCCAGCTGCTACCAGATGTCCAGTGTTAATTGTCTTCTAGGATGGGTTAAAAGAGCAACCCTCAAGCAGTTCACTCAACTTTAACAGCTGCCAGAATAGAGGAAGCTCCATGTTACAGGCATGGCTAAAGGAGGGCCCCCCAGCAGTGTGCTTGATCTGGGGCAGCCAGAATTAGGGTTAAGGAGGCTTTCAAGTGCCTCATTCTGCTGCTTTTTCTGGCTTTGTACAGCTCCCTTTAGCTGCCCCCCCCCCCCTTAAAAAACAAAACAAAACAAAACTGGTTCAGCTATGATTAGAGCCCCAAACTGAGAACTGGTTTAAAATGCCACAAACCAAAGTGTTAAAACTGATTTGAATTGGTAGTTAAAACTGATTTAAATGGATGAACATCACATCAATCTATGACAGCCAGCTGAAAGATGTTAAGAGAAAAATATAAATGGCCTCATGTCCTGATTCCCGATCAGGAAATTGACTGTGTAAGCTCTGACTCGTCCGACCTTTGTGTTTCTTGGTTGAGAGATCAATACCTGAAGGTGAAGGAGCAGCAGAGTGATCCTGTGGCTTTGATCGCTGTGTTCATTGTGCTGAGCTCTCCTTCAAGGATTCTTAGCTCTTCTGTTTTACAGTGTGGGTCTCGTTTTCCTTTTTCCTCATCACCAAAGAAGTATCCTTTCATGTGGTCATGGCAGGTACTCATGTAGTGCTTACTCCAGGCCAGGCCTGTTCTGTGTGCTTTCCTCACAACTACCTCGTAACCTAGGTGCCACTGTGTGTTTCCACTGTAAGTGAGGACGTGTAAGCAGAGATACATGCTTGCCAGAAGACTCCTGAGTGATGTTGATTTAAGCCCAACACTCCAACACCCAGATCCATGCTTGAATTATATGTCCTAGAATTGCTTTGAGATTTAGCTGCACATTTGGTTCTGTATCAAACTTAAGTACGGAGAGTATTACACCATATTGATTCATAGTAAAGAAATATGTAGTCACGGTTGGAAGGAAGGGGTAGAAATTCTATGTTAGAGCTTGTGAATTGTCAGTGTTTATGTTTTCCCCCTTCACTGTTGCGGTAATATCGTGAAATCAGGTGTCAGGTGAACCTTTGTTTATGGGATAGAATCTAGTTGGTTTTGGTGTAGTGAGCTTTTATTGTGTTGATGGTCTTGGTTTTTTGACATGTCGTTAGAGGTTTGTTCTGCTCCTACAGGACACTAACTGGTCCATCCTTTACTGTAGTGGACTTGGCATGATTTGGGATACGTTTCCTTTGAGGAAGATTTCTTCCGTTTTCAACTTTTGTTTTGTTTTTTAAGAATTCAGCAGTGAAGCTATCTGAACATAGCATTTTTCTTTTGGGAAGGTTTTGAATTTATGAATTAAATTTTCTTCATAAATAGAGTATTATTAGGTTTCTTATTTGTTCTGAGTTGAACTTACTGGTATGAAATTAGTCACTTGTAGTGTTCTTTGTGATATTATAGTAATGTTTTCACTTTTCCATGTAGTCCATGATTCTCCCCATGCCCCATTTATCTTATTTTGTCTTGCTGAGTACTTACTGCATTTATCTTTTCAAGGAACTCACTCTGGCTTCATCAGTTTGTTTTTCATTATTTTTCAGTGGTATTCACTCAGATTCAGACAGTTTTACTCTTTTTCTTTTCCCCTTTGTGCGTCACTGTCAAAATACTGTAGACTCAGTCTCTAACATTAATATCAAAGCCATAATTTGCCCTCATGTGTTGCCTTAGCTGAATCCTACAAACTTAATATATTACATTTCATTCTAAAATACTTCCTAATTTAGGAAATTTAGTATTTAGGTTATTCTGAAGATGAAAAAAGAAAATGAAACTCAGTTTGTTCTGTGTATTTATTCGGTAACCAGAACAGATTGCTAAGCCATTGTAAGGGAAGGATTCCCCACACAAGCCAGCCAGCGGTCTGCAGCAGACCCCTGAGTTTGCACAGCTTCAGTTCATTTCCAACACTTGCCTTCCTGGAGGGAGTGTTGAATCCCAAGAACACACGCTGCAGACTCCATCCACCACCGCCCCTCCCTGGTGCCAGTGGCAAGTCCTAGGTGTGCGTACCTGCGCATCTGATTGTGACTGGCAATACGCAGGGTTCACGTAAGAGAAAGAATATTACAGAGAAAACCAGGTTGTACGCCAGTAAAGCACTCCACAGGGCAAGGGTGGAGGAGGAACAGTGTGCGTCCATGCCCTCTCCAGGCTCTTCACCCTCTGGAATTAACAGCTGTGGCTTTCTGCATTCTTAGAAATCTCTGGCCTTTTGAGTTTTCTGCGGAAGTTCCATTACATAGGCATCAACTTAGCCTTCAGCCCTCTCCTCCTGGGGGTTGGAGGGTGGGCTGAAAGGCCTGATCTTTTCATTGAGCAAGTCCTCTACCCCAAACCCCTCTTGAAGTTGCTTAGGGGCCACCAGCCATCAATCAGCTCAGTATGTACAGAAGACAATAGATTTCAAGATTTGCAGCTGTGGCATAACAGGAAATGGGAGGGATATATCTTATAATAGCACTCATTTAGAAATATTGTTTAGTTTTCAAATATTATAGTTTCTACCTAGTTTCCTGTTCATTAGTTTTATTTGACTATTGTAGTCAAAACTTTTACTTAAATACATTGAGTTTTTAATTTAGTGAGGCATTCTCATGACTTAATAGTGAACTTGGTAAGACTACACACTGGATTGAATGTCCTTTGTCAGAGTTTAGTGTTGGTGGCAGACCTCTTATCTCCACTTACTTCGTATCTGTCTGACTGAGAGGTGGCGCCTCCTCCTCTTAGGCGGCATTGTATATTTTATTATTATTACTATTATTATTATCATCATCGACTCTCTCTCTCTCTCTCTCTCTCTCTCTCTCTCTCTGTGTGTGTGTTTGTGTAAGACAGTTTTCAGAAATCCTCTCTCTCCTTCCACTGTGTCAATCCTGGAGACTGAGCTCATATCAGGATTAGAGACACCTAATCATTTTGCTGGCCCTTGTATTGCTTCCTTCAGTTTCATGAAGTTGTGAGAAAAATCATTTCTTTTGGAGCCAGTGAGATGGCTCAGTGGACAAAAGCACTAACAAGCCTAAAGACCTGACTTAATTGCTGGAACCTACGGTGAGAGGAGAAGTCTCTCTCTCTCTCTCTCTCTTACACACACACACCAAAGGTTTATAAATAATAATTTATTTCTTTGGTTTTTCGAGACAGGGTTTCTCTGTATAATAACCCTGACTGTCTTGGACTCTCTTTGTAGACCTATCTGGCTTCAAACTCACAAAGATCTGCCTGCCTCTCCCTCCCGAGTACTGGGATTAAAGGTGTGTGCCACCACACTGAGCCTAAGACTTGTTATTTTATGAGGTGTGTGTGTGTTTGTTCTTGTTTTCTGAGACAGCACTTCTTGCAAGCGAGGCTAGAACCAGCAGTTTCCTGCCTGTCTTCTCCAGGGCTGGTTTGTTTCACGTTCATCACAAACTTAGCCCTTTAGAACTTCAAGCTGTCCTTTTACCCTGGGCACTAGCCATTGTCTTGAAGTCTGTTTCTGACACTGGTACCTGTGCAGCATTCTTCTGATGGGCATGCGTGTTGCATCTTCTTCCATCCTCTACTTGTGCTATGTTACTTTCTGCATACAATCTGTCGGTTGTGTGCTTCCTTGGTAGTTGAGATTTAGTGTCAGTTCAGACTGTAAGGCAGAGTGTCTGCATTTTGGTTCATTTTCTTAGTCAAATAACTGGGTCTTGTTCTCATTCTGATCTGACCATCTCTGTCTTTTAAATGAGGTGTTTAGACTATTCATATATAGCTGCCTGTTGCTAAAGGTTGAGGTGTGTGGCAATGTGCTTACATTTTCTCCCTTTCTCATTGCAGATTCCACCTGATAGCATCTGTCTTTATGTTTATCCACACATTTTCAGTACCCTGGTACTCATTATTCTTTTGAGTAACTCTAATCTTCTGTGCTGTGTGAGTGCTTTCTGTACTCTCTGATGCAATCTCCTTAATTCTTGGCAGTTTAAGCTCCTGGGTTTTTGTTTTGTTTTGTATTGGTAGGGGCGGGGACTTTGTTATAAAATAAGTTACTGGGTAATTAAAAAACAAAACAAAAAAACAAAAAAGGGTTAATCTGGGTAGTAGAGGCATACAACTTTTATACCAGCACTCAGGAGGCAGTGGGAGTTCAAGGCCAGCCTGGTCTACAAAGTGAGTTCTAGGATAGCCCAGGCTACAAAGAGAAACCCTGTCTCAAAAAACTAAAAGAAGAAAAAAAAGAGTTACTGGGTAACTAATGTTATGTCTGGGAGGGTTATTGTCTCTCTTTTGGTTGTTTTTAAATTCTTTACCCGCTTTTTATTTTTGTTTGTTGTTTAATCTTAGAAACGCCCATCAAGACTGAGGCAGATGTTCTGCAAGAACACCAGGTTCTTCAGAGCAGCCCCCCCAAGAGCCCAAGACAAAGTGTTAAATCACCTGGCAGAACTGTCTCAAGAGCCAGGTGGGGGGACCACCAGAGGAATGGTTTCAGAAAGATAATCCTGAAGCGGAAAAAGGGTCATCACCACCCATTATTTGAGCCAAGAACACGCCACCCATATCTCCTGGAAATGGTGAGTGGTTTTTCTTGGCACCATGGAGACTCGGTTCTGTGATTTCTTACCTCTAACACTACATTTGGCATATAGCTCTTATTGAGTACATGCAGGACTACTGCAGTTTTCATCGCTGCTTAACACCAGTGCATTTAAGTATAGGTTTAACTGTTGATTAGGAAGTATGTGTTGAGGTTAAAATCTTCATTGGAAGCACAGCTAAATATAATGGCAAGCTGAAGCAAAAGAAAATCATTTCCTGTTTTAAAATACAAATGCCTATCGAAGGCTCTGGAGAGGTGGCTCAGCAGTTTGGCTGCTTTTCCAAAGACCCCAGGTTCAGTTCCTCGCACCACATGTTGGTCACCACCGCGTGACTCCCATTCCAGGGGATCCAGTGTCCACTTCTGGCCTCACAGGCACCGGGTACACATACATACATACATGCAGGCAAAACACCCAGATAGGTAAAATGAAACTAATAGCTCTTTCTTTAAATGCCTTGAGAAAGCCCATATGGTAAGACAAATCCTGAAGCAGCCCGAATTATTTCCTGTCAGCACAGCCCGAATTCGCCCTTCCCCTGGCCCTGTGCGTGTGTCTTAGGTTGTAATGGTTTACCAGCATTGTGTATTCACACATTTGCTTGAAGCTGTAAGAAAGGGGTGGTGTGTCTTGCTGCTGAGTGATGGCAATGGTGCTGCTCAGAGGTAATGATCCTGTCTAAGAGAAGCAGTGATAGCCTAGCGGGAAGTCTCTTCCCTCGTGTCAGTGTTTCTGCTGTAGCCGGAGTGCCCTGTCTGTCCCATTCATTGGATCTAGAATATACTCTATAGTGTGATGATTACTAGATAGAGCCAGTTGCATTTTTGAGGTGTTTACCTGATGCTAAGTTAAAGGTCACTGAGCGATGCTTCTAATATGTATTATACACAAACCAGTAAAACATTCAATGAAGTAGAAGTCCTTTTTGGCAAATAACAGTACTCTTTGGTCGTATACTTTTCTGGATTCCAGGGAATCTTAGCTTTCTTTCAGTTGTGCTTACAGAAATGGGAAAAAATGAAAATTGAGGAGCATGGAGGTGTTTTTAAGAGCTAGTTTCAGCTCTCACTGTATTTAACACACTTCATTTCTATCACTTATAGACTTAGATTTGGGACGTCTTCCTCATTATTTCTTACTGACCTTAAAGCTTCCTGTGCTGAAGTGGTGCCCTTGTCCCAAGGAGCCAAGTGTGCACGGAAGTGCCCTGACCCAGTGAGGGAATGGCGCGACTTTCAGAGGAAAGATTATGACTTTTAAATCTGCCTTCTTGCTCTTTCCCGTATGTCTCTAGAGAGGAGCCAAATGTGAGCATTTGTGCTGCTTATAGAGGACGCAGTCTCACTGGGTTAAATGGACAGGGAACTGTGTTTATATCGTGTTCTGACAAATCTGTCTGTCCTACAGTTCTGTCCTCTTTCTGTTAGGGTGGGACACGTAGCATTTTAGGTTGTGCTTCTTGGACATTTTTTTTTTAACCAGCTAATCTTTTTAACTTATGTTGTAGCTTCTGGCTCCAGACATTCGACATGAAAGAAATGTGATTTTGCAGTGTGTTCGATATATCATCAAAAAAGACTTTTTTGGACTTAACACTAATTCTGTGAAAGCTGAAGATGTGTAAATGCCTCGTGTTTCTGCACAGCAAGTGAGGCTGTGAGAGAGCTCCGTCCTTGAGTAAACAGAGGAAACCAACAATTTCTAAAGACGGGATCAGAAATTAAACTGTAAGACAAGTGGGATGCTACATTGGATTTTAAGTCTGTCTTTTGGCTTTATGCAAATAAATGCACAGCTGGTCTTTTTAAAGAGTGTTTCTGTGTTATTGGGGTGTGTGTAGGGGTAACAGAGAGGGCTTCTTAAGCTTTCTATCGTGACATCTTTTTGCCCAAGGACTCTTTATGTGACCCGAGACTTAGGTAAGTACACAAGACAGGTGTGCAACTCAAATATCACTGATAGAGAGCCATACAGGAAACTGTTTTTAAAATAGGTCTGTGGTGTGCATATAGTTTCATCATTCCCTGAAGAGAAGTGTATTCACATACCAATGAGGTTGGTGTCTGTTTTATATAAGAATTACATCTTGGCTGAGTATTTGATGTTCCAGGATATAGAAAGTCTTCAGTGTTTTCCAGAGTGATTAATATTTTGATTTTGTAATTGTTAATGCTGAAACGCTGTTTTGCACAAATATATAGTACAAAGTGGCAGAATTATGTAGAGTGCCATTTCAGAAATTGTTGGAAATTCTGTCCTAATCTCAAGCCAAAATGTATGTAAGGATTTTTTTATGAAGCTCAATGCAAACAGTTTTTAAAATCAAACACCATACAACCTAATGATATACTAATTTGATACAAACATGTGAGGCCTAACAATAGAAAAATCCTAAAAGTCTTTGTTCTCTGTAGCTAAACTATAAGAGCAGAAAACTGCATTCATAGGAAGAAACACTGCAGTTCACAAACCAACAGCTGTCTGCAATCTGAGCTGAGGTTTGAGGTGACACTTGCTTCTGTGGCATCATGGTAGGCACAGTGCAAAGTGTGTGTTCAGAATTAGAACCACGGTGAAGTCCCAGGACACCACACTGGTGTGGACAGCCGACAGCCAGAAACACTTTGGCTTCGTTACATTTTGAATTTTGTGTGGTCATTGTGCATCTGTGCCTTCCCCACAGCCGAAGGAGCTGGGTGTGTAGCGTTTGCCGGGAGAACCTTTCGTGTCCATATTTCCCCGTATTGCTGTCATGTCAGGAAGGAAGACTGGTTGGGTTAATTAAGAAGCGAAGGACCCGGGCGGTATCAGGGAACACTTTTTTAAGCGCCTCGTTTAGCTAGACACCTTTAAGCGGGGAGATACATTTTGTTTTAATGCAAAAGAGAGCTGCGTTTTAACAGTGGCAACGGGTCGCCGCCTTTACAGAGGTGGTCAGAATGGCTCAGCGGGCTAGCACTTGCCATCAAGCCTGATACCCAAGTTCTAGCTCTGGAGCCTACATAAAAATAGAGGGAATCAAAGGGACAGGGTTGTCCTCTTGACCTCCATGATTGCTCTGTCTCACACACACACGATGATAAATAAAAATCCAAAAATAAACATCAAATCAATATAATCAGGAAGTCTTGGCTTCCACATGACATTTTATCATGCTGACTTTCCCAATTCTGCCTGCCCTCTGTTCCTCAAATGCCCCCCATTTTCATGTCATGTGTTCCTTCTCTCTCTCGTTCCCTGTAAATGTTTTACAGTAAACAAAGGCTACTGAGTTTTTGCCTTCTGTGGTACTGGGGAATTAATTGAATCTTCCACTCTAGCATTGAGCTAGAGCCAGCCATTATATATTTTTTTAATTTATTTATTTTCTGTGCATGGGTGCTCTAGCTGCATCTCTGTGCCCCATGCGTGTGTCTGGTGTCTGGGAAGAGCAGGCGAGGTTCTTGGACATCCTGGAGTTACGGACAGTTGTGAGCCTCCATGTGGTTGCTGGGAATTGAACCCAGGTCCTCTAGGAAGAGCAGCCAATGCTCTTAACCACTGAGCCATCATTCCAGCTCCCACTTCTACCTTTTAATGGGGAGCTAAAAGAGGCTGGGACTCTGAAAACCCAGTCTGTTGTTATAGTTGAAGATTAATTTTATCTGACATTGGGTTATTGAAGTTTGTAGGTCTTCCTTGCCAGATAGAAGGAAAGACGCCTTTGTGTTGGACCTGGCCAATCTAGGACCCTAGAATGCCTGACTTGCAGCACTGGGGAAATCACAGGTCCCACATAAAGCTGTAGGTTCATGGGGGGAGGGGGGCGAATGGGGTGCATGCCTTTAATCCCAGCACTTGGGAGGCAGAGGCTAGGAGTTCAGTGCCAGCCTGGGCTACTGAACAAGTTCCAGGCTGCCAAGGGTACACAGAGGAACTCTGTCTTGAAAAACCAAGAAAAAGAAAAAGATTGAGGATCAGTCAGTTCCCCAGCCTGTCCAGCCCTTTCTCCCGGCTGACTTGACCTTACTTTGGAAAGCTAACCTGCCCGGCTCGGCTCAGGTGATTGTACTGAGTGCTTACCTGTGTGCCCACCGTGCTTGTGCGGTTCGGAAGCAAGCCCGCCTTCCTGAACAAGAAGCTGCTTAGCTCTTCCAAGTGTTCAGTGGTGTGCTTCACAGCCCAGTTCATCTTCCTAAGAAGTAACTTGTTACAAACTTAATCCCTAAGTACGGTGAGTCAGGGGCTTACCACCAGTTAGCACTTAAATTCCCCGGGTTTAGAGTCTATGAATGGATTCACAGCTGCCTGCACTAATACCTGGATTGCCGTACTTCAAGGATTACTCTAACTGGATCGGAATCGTCCTACCTTCACCATTCTTCTTTCTCTTTCTCTTTCTCTTTTCTTCTTCTTCTTTTTTGAAATAGGGTCTCACTGTGTAGCCTTATCTAACCTGGAACTCACAGAAATGTGCCCTGCCTTCCAAGAGCGGAATAAAAAGTGTGTGCCGTCATGCTCAACTCATTTGTATTTCTTTAATAGATGTGTAAAAGACTGAAGCCACTCTTCTGAGTTCTGACTTACCTGTGTCTGAGGCTTTAGATGTAGAATCTGTTGTCTGTTCCAGGGAGGATTACAGATTGGTTATGTTCTGAGTGTGTGTGTGTCTGTGTGTGATTGTGAGCACTTACAGAGTCCAGAGGAGGGCTCAGGCGTCCGGCTCCCGACTCACCCTTTGAGACAGGCTCTCACACTGAGCCTGGAGCTGACCTGGTGGTCAGGGGTCCTCGTGTCTGCCCCACCACGGCACTGGTTTTACAGGCATGAGTGTGTCCAGCTCTCTATCTACTTTGTGGGGATCTGAACTTGGGCTGTAATGCTCGTACAGTCAGCACGCTAAGCTACCATCCATCTCTGCCAGTTGCCCTTACTTGAAACAAAAACTATTTTAAAGTATGTTTGAAATTTGCAAATGGACAGAATACAGCCTGTATATTTTTCCTTGTGGAATAAATGTTAAATATTTGTAAGTACTTGAGCTTTGTCCATTTCTGGATACAAGGATTTTGGTATTTTGTTTGCTAATTATTCAAAACTGTATTCCTATAGTTTCTCATTTAACCTTGATTTCTGAGAGCATTGTATGACTTGGCAAACTCCCTTCCATATCTATGAAGTGAAATACTCTTCTTTGTCATCAGTATCTTGAATACTTTTAAACCCTTTTCTCCAATTAATATAATAAAACAGTTGTTTTTTTTACTTTTTTATTTAAGTGTATGTGAGCGTATACCAATGTGTCTGGGAGCCGGAAGAAGCTGCCGGATCCCTCGAGTTGGATTTCCAGATGGTTGTGAGCTGCTTGACTTGGGAATAGAACTTGGGTCCCTAGGAGAACAGCAAGCGCTCTTAACTGCTGAGCCACAAATGGCTTTAAGAGCCGGGAGGATTCCATTAACTGCCAGCATTAACTGTAATTCTTGAAACGTTTCCCCATCATACTGCTTTGTATTTTCTGTATGTTCTGCTTTCCTGTTTGCTTTTCCCTTTGTTCTTTTGCTGGCACTAAGATGTACTGCTTCAGTCACTGAGGCTTACCCTCAGCACTCGATTCTTAGAGCCTCACATCCTGCCAGTGCTTGCACAGGCCTAACACTCTCCTGACGCCTTCGCGTGGCCTTCAGTCACCTTGGCTGCAGGTGTCAGTATGTGCAGCCTTCTGTGGGCCCGCACCCAGGGTTGTGAGAGCTGCTTTATTTAAGACGCCTGTTGTGGGTTTTAGTTAAGCAGCGGTTAGTCCTAAACCAGCTGTATACCGAATATCCACACAGACTGGCATCTATTTAATTAACCCGAAGCGCAATGCTGGGCAATAGTTACTCCATCCTAAACCTCCAAGCCCGCATAGTTTCAGATTTCACCCATTATACTTGCTTTTAGTCATATCTTAGGTCCGGTCCATCTCTCAATGTGGTTCCAAGACCTCTCTGTTCCTCCCTCCACTTCCTCCATCTCTCCCTTTCAGACCAGGCTATCCCACCCTATTCTCTCCATTGCTCAGCATTGCGGCTGATTGTTTAATTGACAATTTAGAGAACAAATGGTGGCATGTTTACACAAACTTGAGACAGGTGATGCTTAGAATAAGATCCCAATGCAATGTCCAGATTGAAACCAGATAGTGGGATAGAGAAATCAGCATTTGAATGAATAAGGTTCAATTGTATTCATTTCAAAAGAACCTTGTACCAACAGATGCCGAAGAGTCCTCCTTCTGCCCCTTCTCTTTGCCTTTGTTGTTCTTGGCCAGTTTTTTCAGGCCCTTCTGTCCTTGGGGGATATCCACAGCCTTGATCTTGACATTTGCTAGTTCTCAGGACACATTGGAGAACTTACTTGCAGCAGGCTGTGGACTTAATGATTCCAGTGCTCCGGAAGCCCTTGTCCTTTTCAAAGTCATAGTTCAAGATCTGTAGCTCTGTTTCCAAAAGCCCTGGTTCTTTTTCTGCTTCCTGGAAGCGTTTCCTGCAGGCCTTGTGCAAGGCTGAGAGGAGGCTCTGACTCACACCACAGAAAGGGGAAAGACCTTGTTTCCATTCTAGCATTTTCTTAGATTGGTGGAGTACTGCTTTTTCTTTTTCTTTCTTTCTTTCTTTCTTTTTTTGTTTGTTTTGAGACAAAGTTTCTCTGTGTGTGTAGCCCTTGCTGTCCTGGAACTCACTTTGTAGGACCAGGCTGGGCTTGAACTACAGAGATCCTCCTGCTTCTGCCTCCCAAGAGCTGGGATTAAAGGCATGTGTCACCAGGCTGGGTGTTTTTTCTTATTT